GTGCTAATACTTTAACTTTTAAGAAAGGATTAAATTTTGCTGAAATCGACGCACTTGATGTTTTTCTTGATGAATAATAATAAAAATCCAAATAGGATTATATTGAAATAGTATTGAGATATAAATGAGTAGTAAATGATTGAAAAAATGTATTTAGAGTGAATAGGATTCACGATGGTCTAACCATTATTATCATTGATCGATTTGTATAGTTAACATTTTTTCTTTGAAAGGATTATTTTTAATGTATTATGCATGTTTCTGATTAGGGAGCTGCAGGTCTACTTCATACAAATGTGGATATTCAGTTGCCTATAGATAAGCATTAAAACCTGTTTTTGCCAGATTTTCAAAACCATTATGATTAATTGTTTTAGTTAATCGATAAAAGTGTACTGTAAATTCAACAAAAGTAATTTGAATTTCCTGTTTAGCTTGATCAAGAATAACTGGTTGGATCTGTGAGGATGCAGAAAACTGATTGATACTTATTTAAGCATTGAAAAATGTCGTTTTCTTTAGTTCGATAACTATTAATATGTTTAAATATTGATTTTGTACCTAAAGATGATTTATAAATAAGTAAGTCTTCACATTAATTGCATTAAATATATTCGTGCTTGATCTTATTTACATAATTACAATAAAGACTATTCTAAGCAGCTTAAAATTTTGGTGTTACTATTGGTTTGACCATTTTTTTAAACAATCACTGTTGTTTTTGAGAATAATCAACATCTTGGTGCTTCACTTATTTATGTACAAAGCGAGTGCCAGATGTTTCTGAAAAAGGAATCGGATCTGTGCAGGATTCGGGTACTTACATACATAAACCCGTTGCTTCCTGATATACAAACTCAGTAAATTTCAATTTATTTTATTTGATAAAAAATTTTAATTTCTATCTTTTCTTAATATGCAGATAAACTGGATTTTCTCATAATTATATAATGAATTGTGATCATTATGTTTTTTTTAATGATAATTTATTCTGAATAATCTTTTTTTTCTAATAAATAATCTTTTTGAATTTGCAATTGACCTTGCATAACAGTAACAGCGTAACCACGTAAAAATACTCGTTGATTTTTTTCATCTAATTCACATTCAATATGACCACCACGAGCACTTTTTTGATAACCATTAAGAATTGTTTTATTTAATAATCGAGACCAATAAACTGTAAGAGCCGTATGAGCACTACCAGTAACTGGATCTTCAAGTATACCATTCCATGGTGCAAAATAACGAGAAATAAAATCATATATTTTTGAGTCACTTGTAAGAATAATTCCACGTATGAATGAACGTATTGATGAAGGAAAATCAATATCAATTAAATTTTGTTGTGGTTTTATATTATCATCAATGGAAGAAAGATGAATTAAAAGTTTTTTCGTTCGTTTACATAATTCAATAGCATGAATATCTTGTGTTATATTTAATTTAGATTTTATTTCATTTATTATTTCCCTATTTAGTTCAATTGGTTGTGGATTACCCATAGGAAAATCAAGTTGTAAACGACCTTGATTATCACATTTTTTAACTTTTAATTCTCCAACTTTTTTTGTTTCAAATATTAATTCATCAATTGAAGAATTTTGAAGATATTTTTCAAAAAGAATATGAGCTGTAGCTAATGTTGCATGACCACATAGATCAACTTCATTTGTTGGTGTAAACCATTGAAGAAAATAACGTGAATTTGATAATGATTCATTTGCTTTTGTTATAAAAGCTGTTTCAGATATATTCATTTCTGTAGCAATTTTTTGAAATAATATATCAAGATTTGTCGATGAAGATACATCTTGAAATGAAGTGCAAACACCAGCTGGATTACCTTTAAATAATTCACGTGTAAATGAATCAACTGTATAAATTGTTACCATAGTTTGAAAAAGATAGTGTAAAGGACGAAAAACAAAAAATAAATAAATAAATGATACACTTCGGTTATTAACACAGATTTTGTTAAAAAAATACGAGAAAAGAACGAATACAATCATGTCAAATAGCGACACCTAAAAATGTTTTAGGTTTTTATTAGAGAAACTTGATGGTTAATGTATAAACCAATTATTTTACGAATACTTTTCTCACAGACAGAAAAAAATGTAATTTTTTTATTCTAGTTTTTCTATCTATTCAAATGTTGTCAAATAAAACATCTTCAGCCGTTCGTTCGGCTATCAATGCTCTTCAACATTATAAAGTTCTCAATATTTTAACAAATGATTGTTTTGAAAAAGCTCTTGAAACTGAACAACAACTTTCGATTGAAAAGAAAAGTAAAGATCTTTACGTTTTCATTTAATCTATTATATATTGGTTTTACTTCAAGACAATTCACCATTATATGGTCGTCCAATTCTAATAAAAGACAATTTTTGTTTGCGTGATACATTTACAACATGTGCTTCCAAAATGTTAGCTAATTTTCGTTCACCTTATACAAGTACTATTGTACAACGATTAATTGATCATGGTTGTATTATTATGGGAAAAGCAAATATGGATGAATTTTCTATGGGGTATGCTTTAGGTTTTTGAAAAAAAAAATAGAGAATATCTTTCATTAACTGTAGATATTCTTCAGTGTAGCAAGCTGGGGTGCATTTGGACCTGTAGCAAATCCTTGGAGTTTAACAAAGACAAAGATAATAAGTGAAGCAAACAATAAAACATTATTGCATATAGCTGGAGGAAGTTCAGGTGGAAGTGCAGCTGCTGTGGCAGCAAACTTTGTATCAATGTAAAAGTGAAAAATAAATGATTGTGTTTAGTATATTTTTAATCGTATTATTCTAGAGCTCTTGGGTCAGATACAGGTGGATCAATAAGAAATCCAGCTGCACGATGTGGTTGTTATGGATTTAAACCCTCATATGGTTTACTTTCACGATTTGGTATGGTTGCGTTAGTCAATTCTTTTGATTCACCTGGGTTTTTTGCTCGAAATATTGACGATTTAATTTTTGCAACAAGTAATTTATTATTTTTGTTCTCTTTTTTCTTTGTAAAATAATCTTACAAATTTAGATGCTGTCGCTGGTCCTGATGGTGCAGATGCAACTCTACTATCAAAACCATTTGAACAATTTAAAACATCGAAAGAACTATCAAAAGAAAAAGAAAAGATTATTATTGGTTTACCTGATGTAAGAATTGTTTTTTTTCTTATTCCTCATTCATTCATTGAATCATCATATAGGACTATGATATCAGTAGTTTATCAAGTGAATATCGTTCATGTTGGCAAGATTTAGTTCATCAATTAACTGAAACTGGTCAATTTACATTTAAACGAGTACAATTACCATATACACCTTATTCAAATGCAGCTTATACAATATTAAGCTCATGTGAAATTGCTTCAAATATGGCTCGATATGATGGTATTAAATATGGTATTAGATCAAGTGTTTTATTTTTCTTAGTCAATAGTGTACTATTGAATATTTCAGGTTATCATACAAAGAATATTGATGAAAATAGAGATACGTATGAAGATATTCTAAAGAAAACACGTGATGAAAGTTTGGGTGAACGAGTTCGTGGTCGTATTCTAGCTGGAAATTATTATTTACTTGAAGAGTAAATATTATTATCTACTTCTACATTTTGAATATTATATTATGTATATATTAATAGGAATTATGATAAATATTTTGTTCAAAGTCAACGAGTAAGACGTGGTGTCATGAATGATTATAAGAAAGTATTTGAAGAAGATAAGATTGATTGTTTATTATCACCAGTGGTTTCCAATGATCCAATAACACTTGCTGAATATGAGCAAGCGGATGATATATTTAGTGAAGATGATATATTTACTGTTGGTACTAATCTAGCTGGTAGATACTTTCAAATTGTTCAAACAATTCATTGAGTTTTGTTTTCTGTTTTGCAGGCCTGCCAGCACTTAGTTTTCCAGTTCGATTATCAAGTCAAGGATTTCCTATTAGTCTTCAATTGATTGGTCCATTTATGAAAGATCAAGCACTTCTTTCGATAGCTCATCGTATTTGTTCGACATATCAATTTCCTTTTCTTGATCTTACGAAACAAAACTAGACTCTATGTTTCTAAAACAATAAATAAAAAGCATAAAACTGATAACTATGCATACACATTGCAATTGTTAAATACACTTCAAATTCAGAAAAATTGCATTTGATGATCTCAATGCTGAAACTGAAACATCTGTATTAGTGTAAACTCTGTTCTTTTTTTAATTATTTCAGGCGTCACACATTCAGCTCTACCAAAAATACAGTCATGTTGTACAATAGCGTGCATTACAAACAGAGACAGGTGGTAAAAAGTAAACATAGAAGCCACTACAGTTAATTACTGATATAGAGATGAAGACAAGGCAAAAAGATGGGCTTATTACGAAGCATACCGTTCCGTTAGCTACAGTGCCCACTGTTGTCGGTAATGTACCATTGAACCAGCCTCCTACGTAAGCACCACAATGACCTTGAGCAGGTGCTGCTAATGGAATTATAGTACCACCAGTACCAATAAATCGAATCCAAGAACCATCATTACTCGCATTAAATGGTGATCCATTATCGCATGATCCGAATAATGATGATTGAGCGATATTTCGTGATGGATCATCAATGGTTGTATATGATGAACAAGGTGGTCCACTTTGGTTTCCTATACTAATACTACTCACTGAAGTTGTTGTTGATACTGAAATTAAGAAAACATTTTCGTTCAAATATCTGAGTCAAACAATAGAAACAACGTATTTACATGAAGTTTGATTATCGATTGTAGTTGTTTCCACTATGCTTTGTTGAGACTTGGAAACACCAACTATTACACCGACAACGACAGCTACAGTTAAAATAATGATCATTACAATAATAATTGTAATGATCTTTGATCGGCTACTACAAATTTGTTTATCATCGGTTTCTACCAATCTACAAGAAAAGGATTTTATGCTCGAATTATGCATATATAGTCTTACTCAGCAGTGAGGCTATTTGTTGATCGTGAAGTATAATCATGTTCTTCGAAAATTGATCTTTGTGATCGATCTGTTTTTGAGTGAGTATGTTTTGCATTTTCAAATGCTTGTACTTTAGGAGTGGATGTACGAAACTTGAATTGAACTTTTTTTTTCTTAGGTTTTTTTTCTTGACTATCTAGTTTGAGAATCGACTGTTGTTGAGTATATTGTCTGTTAGGCAAAATATGAGCTTCACCAGATTGTTTCTTCCATTCAATTTTGATTGTATCCATTTTTCTGTTTCTGTTTCTGTTTGACACCCTGTTCTCTCTCTCGTTATATATACATATGCGTGTGTAAGTGTGCATGAAATTTTATGAAGAACTATAAAAAAATTCTATTATTCAAATTTTTGTTTCATAGGTATCTTCATTGAATGTTGTGCATTGCGTGAAAAACAAAATCATAGCGAACATTTGATGACCAAGTTTTTTTCCGAATATACATTGAGTAAACAGATGTCAGAACGTTGTTAAAAAGGAAAAATAATTTTTATAATAATCTTGAAACTGAGAGAATAGAATGATCTGTATGAGAAAGATTGTTCGAAATTTTCACTTGAACTTACAAGATTTACTACTTATGTCATGTTTTTCAAAAAAATTTTCTTTGGCATACGAATAAGCTATGCTGATATCAAAACTAGAGTTTTGACTTTTTTCTTGATGAAATAGAACTCGATGAGATCAACTCTTCCTTCAATTTAAGATGTTTTTTCAAGTAAATAACTCATAGCACTTGAATTTGTAACCTATATTTGTACAATCAGTTCGTTTAGAGCCACAAGTTTTCTAAACTTATTGAAGGAAATTAGAAATTTTAAAGAAGCCAATGTCCTATTATTCTGAGAAAGGGAAAAAATGAAAATAAAGTTTTTCTTTTCAAAATCGGTAGAAATAAAAGAAACATGAAAATAATGAATGTTCATGAAAAATATGATCGCCATTATCTTGTCCAATTGCACTTCCTCATACCTTCTTGTGTTTTACCCTTGTTATTATTCGTATTTTAATTGACACTATTCGACATGGAATATATCTAATGGATTTACGTCTCTTGACTAAGAAGGTCACCAATCTTTTGGTAAAAACAACTCGAATCTTATTATAGATCATTCTTGAAATATTTCATTAGTATGCACTGTTGATACATCTTGTTACAGACATCAGTTTTGATGATCAACTTACTGGTTATCCTCAGTTTGATAGAATAATAACAGTTTACCACGGTATACTATGCAAAATGGTCAATGCTATTTTCATTTATACTTTTCTCAAAACAATACGATATTTCACTATCACACACTGTTCCACTTTTCGCCGTATCAAAGAAAAAACACCAAACTAACTCGATACGAATTCTCATTAGTTTCTTTGTAGAGGATCTCGTGACGCATCTTTTAAAAAACCAAAATTATATGATTCAGCTATGGTGAGATATTTTCATCTAATCACATTAATCTTCAGGTGCAGTTTTGTTTCGTTTTATACTGTATTTAGAAGATTTCAATCAGAAAAAGTTCGATCTGAGTCAACAATAATTTGATATTCGGAGTCAGCAGAAAATTTTGAGTTAGTCTAGGTACGATTAAAAAGAATTTTTAAAATTTTTTTTTTATCAGAGATGTTGCTTCTGGTTCCCATCTCAGAGACCAGAGAAAAACTGAACGTCATTAAGGGTAAAGTTTTCGACGAAACAAAAATTCTAGAAATTCTTTAAATCAAACCAATAACAACCCAACATTTTATGTTGCCTCCATATACCATATTAGTTTTGAATCAAATTGAACGTTTTTGTAATTGAAATCTGCTAAATACTGAGTAAAAAGATAAACATACATATCAAGAATAGTGTACATAGAAAATACTTCCAGTAGACAAACTTTTTGACTTTGGAAAAATATGACTTTGCAGCTATTAAAAGAAAACAATGAACAATGAATATTATAAATATCTCAATATGCAACAAAATAGTGATTTATATATGGAAATGAAGCTTCATCAAATGACTGGCAAATTCATAATTTCAGTAGTATTATATCTTCTCTGCTTATTTTCAAATTAAATTCACTAGTATATGATAAATCATAGATGTAACAGATATCAGCATGGATTTTAGAGCAGCCAGTCAATACAAGTTTACCAGTAATAGATCAATTCTTACAATGAAATCATGTTTCATTGTACACTCCCGCAATTTACCATCTTATATTATGAATCTGAAATATCTGAACAATTGTGCGCTAGTATTCATTGTATGCCTTTCTAATAGAAAATAACATATTGAATATTAGTACACAATCATTCATGCATATCAGATTCATGACATAAGTTAATAGCTTGCGCCAATTCACTATGAAACAGGATTTCATTTTAAAGATTGATCTATTACCCACAGAGTGGTAGCCAGAAATTTTGCAATGGAACTGCCCAACAGCCAGATAATAGTTTTCTGCTTTGCGAAAAAGCTCATCTGTCTCTTGTCCAGGTGTTTTTTTCGCCAATGAAGGTGCAAAGACGTCTCCTGAGTACGGTCCAGATTATCGGTAGACTAGCATTTACCGATGGGCTCGTCAAATCAATGTACTAGGCATTAGGGTTCGATCTGACATTTTCAGACCGGTTTCATCTATCAGATGAATTATGAGTGTGATAACCTTAAGTGCATTACTTTTTTGATAGCTTTTGGGTTTAAAAATTTGATCAAAATTTCATGAAATTAGTACCAAAATGTTAATTTCAGCACGCTCTTTCCATTGATATATTATTCTCTCATACACTTCTTCCCATTGCTTATCCCACTTGTTCAACACCTCAATTTCTTTCTCTAGGTCTTACAAAACAAAATCGAACTCTATGTTTGTGAACAGATACAAAACAAATATGTAACTGATAACTATGCATACAGAATGCAGCTGTTAAATGTATTCCAAAGAAAGACAAATTGTAATGGATGATTTAAATGCTGAAATTAAACCATCTATATTAGCATAAATGCAATGTTCGCGATGGAGTTTACCTCGTGCCATTATCTACTATCACTTGAATTGACTGTTCATACATGATCTTTAACCTTCCTTTATTATTTCTTCTCATAACATTCTTTTTTCTTCCTTCTGCCTTAACTGTGTCTCGTTAATTACATCTCTCGTAGTGTGGTATAAAAACGAGTGCTTTTGATGTGAACGATCCGATTCATGATATGATGAAGCTAAATAAGACATAATGTCATCCATGCTGTCGACTCTTCTCTCTAAAACATCACCATAAAGTCTATTTTATTAAAACTATTGCAAAAGTCGCACATTCAGTTCTACAAAAAAAAGATACAGTCATGTTGTACAATAGCGTCCATTACAAGCAGGTGCAGGTGGTAAAAAGTAAACATAGAAGCCACTACAGTTCATTACTAATATAGAGACGGAGAAAGGGCAAGGAACTGAATTCATTGAAAAGCATGCTGTTCCGTTTACTACAGTATTCACTGTTGTTGGTAACGTCCCATTGAACCACCCTACCATATAAGCACCACAGCGACCTTGAGCTGGTGCTGTTAATGGAAGTATAGTACCACCAGTACCAATAAATCGTATCCAAGAACCACCATTACTCGTATTGAATGGTGATCCTCTATCACACAAAGCGTATAATGACGATTGAGCGATATTTCGTGATGGATCATCAATGGTTGTATATGATGAACAAGGTGGTCCACTTTGATTTCCTATACTAATACTACTCACTAAAGTTGTTGTTGACACTGAAACTAAGAAAACATTTCCAGTCAAATATTTGAATTAAACAGTACGAAAATTTGCTATTTAGAAAGGACCTCCGAAAAAGATGGGCAAATGAAAACAGTCGGACACTGGACTGAGGTAAAGGAGTAGTCAGATATACATGAACATTGTGATCCTTATGACGCTTTATTGACGTTTTTTAAACATGATTTACCAAAATTTTCAAGTTAACTTAGTTTTGAACAGAGTTTTGAGAATAGCGGCTTCTGAGAATTTTATAACGCATTATTTACGAATAAGTCACTTATATAAAGAGTATATTAGTCGTTTGGTACAAAAAAAAATTGATAATATAATCCTTGTAGTTTTAAAATATCGAACATGATGTAGTTGCTGTTCCTAATCACTGCAGACTACTTGATTCTATTAATTCTGAAACATATTATCTTCATCTTCGTTTATTAAATTCTCTCAAATTGCAATGAGGAAGTTGCTGATATATTATAGCGAGACGTTATTGATACATGCTCTTCTATTATGCAGAGTGTCCAGGGAGGTCTTAGCCAGAAAAAAACCTAAATGTCTCCGTAATATGTCGGTACCATGAGCTGGTATTTTGACTATTGATAGAAGAGTGTTCATAGCTCATATTCACAGAAGAAGCCTTGCCAAAACTTGTTTTGAGGCATTACTATTAAATTCAATAAAGAACTACAACCTTTCATGGCTTATGAACAGAAAAGCAATATAGCACTTTTCTCAACAAACTCCATTATATTTGTTGATGAAACTTTCCATGCAAAAAGAGTAACAAGACAAGTATTTGCTGAGCAAACTTCTGACCAAACAACATTAGTGTAGAAAATTAATCAAAGTCTTCAATATGTCATTTATTCTGGCCGATGGAATAAATGTACTGCTTTTTATAATCCATGTATGATTACATTTCTTTGTTAAAGACAGTTGTGATACTTCAAAACAGATTTTGTCAATGGTTTTTCTGTGAATATGAGCTATGAACATTCCTTTATCAGTGATAAAAATATCAGATCACTAAACTAAAATATTGCAGAGATATTTAAATTTTTCTTTAGTTAAGGACTTTCTGGACACTCTTTATTGTCAAAAATATTTTGAACGCTGGAAGCTCAAGGTGAAGTAGGAGTGACAAAATGTGGTTTTTAACAGGCCATCCTTCATGAAGTAGTCCATAAGCCTTTACATGAAGTTTGATTATTTATTGTAGTTGTTTCCACTATACTTTTTTGAGTCTTGGAAACACCAACTACTACACCGATAACAATAGCCACAGTTACAATAATGATCATTATAATAATAGTTGTAACAATTTTTGATCGGGTACTACAAGTTTGTTTATCATCGGTTTCTACCAATCTACAAGAAAAAGATTTTATGCTCGAATTATAGGTATATAATCTTACTCAGTAGTGAAGCCATTTTTTGATCGTGAAGCATAATCATGATCATCGAAAAGTGATCCTTGTAATCGATGTGTTTTTGAATGGTTATGTTCTGTATTTTCAAATGCCTCTACTTTAGAAGTTGATGTACGAAACTTGAATTGAACTTTTTTTTTCTTAGGTTTTTTTTCTTGACTATCTAGTTTGAGAATCGACTGTTGTTGAGTATATTGTCTGTTAGGCAAAATGTGAGCTTCACCAGATTGTTTCTTCCATTCAATTTTGATTGTATCCATTTTTCTGTTTCTGTTTCTGTTTGACACGCCGTTCTCTCTCTCCTTATATATGTGTGTATATGAAACTCTATGAAGAATTGCAAAAAGAAATCTATTATTCAAATTTTTATTTCGTAGATCTGTTGATTGAATTTTGTATGTTGCATTCAAAATAAAACCATGGTGAGTTTTTGATGGCCACAGTTTGTTTACTGAGTGAACATCGAGTGAACCAATGTAAGAAAATTGTCAACATGCAAAAGAATTTTTCGCAAGTGTTGCAGCTGCAAAAATATAAAAATTTGTATCACATAAATGTGTCGAAAATTTTACTTGAAACAGTAGCGTGGATTACTACAGTCATTTTTTCAAAGAATTTTTTTTTTGACATATTAGTGATCTGTGCTAATATCGAAGTTAAAATTTTTACTTTTGCTTGATAAAATTAGTATTTGATTAGATTAACTTTTTAGTCTAAATTAATTTTTTTTTGTATTTTATAAAATAATTTATAAATCAGATCAATGTGAGTGTTAATCGAGATTTGTGCAGTTATCTCATACAGACACATGATTTTTTTTTAGATTTCCTGAACAAAATTGCAGATATTAAGATCTATCTCTCTCTAGTTACACTGGAATTTTGTCCAAAAAATGGGTTCTTGACATCAATATATGATCATGTTATCTCAGTAGTCTAGTTTCAAAATAATCACAAAAGTCATGATTCTTTAAGGTTTTTACGACTTTCTTGGATGATCTTTAAAACTGTGTTACGACAATAATGATGTTTCGAGTTATGATTAAAATTGTTATTTAGAGTTAGACTTTCTGCATAAAGAAAAATTATTCAGTGGTAATGAAAACTCGCGCATCTGAGAGACACAGTTCTGAGATTTCCAATGACTCGAAGGTATGGCTGTGGATTTTCTCTTCACCCGCATTCGAACCTTCAAAGTACATGTTTTATATGAAACAAAATACTATTTATCGTATGAACTACTAATAACAACTAATCATTATCAGCAGTTCTTTAAAAATACTGAAATGCAATAAGTTAATTTAAAAAAAAATTATTATTTCTCTCTGGAGTGAGATATACTGATAGCCATATTTAATATTCTAGAACTATCTCAGCAGTGATGAGTAGTCTAATCTTGATTTTCTTTTTGCAAAGATGCATCGTAAAATTCTCTACATAAATAATAATGAGAAATACGAAAAGTAAAGATGAAAATAAGATTAAAAAATAACGTTTATCTTATTTCCAACGAAACTATTCATGATAATTACGATATACTATGCAAAAAGATCAGTGTTATTTCCATTTATTCTTTTCTCAAAAATAAGACAACATTTCAATATCATACAGTATTTCACTTTTAGTCCTATGAAAAGAAAAATTATGAAACTGAATCGATAGGATTTCTCATCACTATTCTTGTAGAGAATTTTACCATGCATCTTTACAAAAAGAAGTCAAGATTATAGGATTTATTTGTGCTAAGATATTTTCAAAACTAGGTCCTTTTTTTCAAAATGAAAAAAATTATTCTTGAGAAGTAGTTTTGTGTCTTCTCATCAGTGTTTAGAAGATTTCAATTAGAAAACATTCAATTGGAGTCCACAATAACATGATATTCGGAGTCAGTATGAAATTCTGGTTTGGTCTAGATGAGGTTTCAAGAGTTTCTGCAAGCTTTTATTTCGCAATAATGTTGCTTCTGCTCCCTTCGTGCAAAGACTAGAGAAAAATTGAACATCATTAGCAGTAAACTTTTCGACGAAACAAAAGTTCTAAAAATTCTTTAATTCAAAACAACAACCAGTCAGAATTTTATGTTGCTTCCATGTACCATATTAATGTTGACTCGAACTGAACTTTTTTCCAAATGAAGTCTTCAATATATTGACGGATCTTAGACCAAGCGGTCCATCGCTAAATACGAATCTATCAGTAATAGATCAAATCTTACAATAAAATCGTGTTTTATAGTAAACTCTCGCAAGTTACTCACTTATAACATAAATCTGAAATATAAGACCGATTGGGTACTAATATTCATTATATGGCTTTCTAATAAATAAAAAAATAATAGCGATCGGAATATCAATGCATCAAGTTAGTTGGTGTTGCAATCACTATATTTTTAATAGAAAATCACATGTTGAATATAAGTAAACGATCGTTCAGTCACTCCATATTCCTGACATCAGTTAATTAATTGCGAGAGTGCACTATGAAACAAGGTTTCATTTCAGAAATCAATCTATTACCGACACGAAGGTAGCCAAAAATTTTCCAAAGAAGCTATACATCACCAAAAAGATTTTCTTTTGCTACGCAAAAAAGTCGTTATCCGTATCCTCTTACATGCTTTCTGGCCGACGAAGATGGAAGTAGACCACTAGTTGCCGATAAACCAGTCAAACTGTGAAGCCGGATGGTGGCAGTAGATCTGACTTTTCAGGCTACTATAGGCATCGGTCGTCTAAAAGCTACATCGATTTCGTCTATCCGACGCTTTGTTAGAATGATGACCTAAGGCCTAATAATTTGTTGATAGCTTTTGGGTTTTAAGAAGATTCGAGCAATAATCAAGAAAGTGGTATGAAAATATCAGTTTCAACAAGCTCTTTCCGTTGATATATGATTCTATCAAACACTTCTTCCAATTACTCATCATATTTATTCAACATATTAATTTGTTTTTCTTGATCTTACAAAACAGTACTAACATAAACTCTACGTTTGTAAAACGATAAAATCAATACAGCTGTTAAGTTTGTTGCAGACTAAGAAAAATTGCATTTGAGGATTTAAAAGCTGAAATGAAACCATCCATATTAGTATAAATGCAACGTTCGCAGTTGAATTTGCTTTGTGCTATCATCTGCTTCCACTGCTTGGTTGAATTTGCTGTTTATACATGATATTTAACCCTGCTTTGTTATTTCTTCTTATCACATTCTTTGTCCTTCCTTTTGTCTTAACTCTAGCTCCTTCAGCACCTCTCTGTTCTTGACGCTTTCTGTCGTCTTTTCATTCTCTTTTTTTTTCTCTCATAGTGGCGTATAAAAACGTGTACTTTTGATGTGAACGATCCGATTAATGATATGATGATGCTAAATAAGGCGTAACGTCATCCATACTGTCGACTCTTCTATTTAAAATCGTTATCATAAAGTTAGTTTTTTTTGAAATTATTGCAAAAATGCCACTTTCAATTCTGCAAAAAAATATAGTCATGTTGTACAATAGCGTGTATTACAAACAGAGACAGGTGGTAGAAAGTAAACATAGAAACCACCACAATTAATTATCGATACAGAGGAGGCGAGAAAACAAGGAACTGTATTCATTGAGAAGCATGCCGTTCCGTTACCTACAGAACTCACTGTTGTCGGTAATGTACCATTGAACCAGCCTTCTACGTAAGCATCACAATGACCTTGAGCAGGTGCTGCTAATGGAATTATAGTATCACCAGTACCAATAAATCGAATCCAAGAACCACCATTACTCGCATTGAATGGTGATCCATTATCGCATGATCCGAATAATGATGATTGAGCAAGATTGCGGGATGGATCATCAATAGTTGTATATGATGAATAGGGTGGTCCACTTTGATTTCCTATACTAATACTACTCACTAAGGTTGTTGTTGATATTGAAACTAAGAAAACATTTTCGTTCAAATATCTGAATCAAATAATAGAAACACCGGATTTGCATGAACTTTGATTATTTATTGTCGTTGTTTCCGCTGTACTTTGTTCAGACTTGGAAACACTAGCTACCACACCGATAACAATACCCACAGTTAAAATAATTACAGTTATTACAATAATAACTGTAATAATCTTTGATCGGGTACTGCAAGTTTGTTTACGATTGGTTTCTAGCAATCTACAAAAAACTTCTATGCTTCAATGAATTCGATATATATATATATAATCTTACTCAGTAGTAAGGATACTTGTTGATTGTGAAATATAATCATGATCTTCGAAAATCGATCTTTGTGATCGATTGGTTTTTGAGTAAGTCCTGTATTTTCAAATGCTCGTGCTTCAGGAGTGGATGTACGAAACTTGAATTGAACTTTTTTTTTCTTAGGTTTTATTTCTTGTCTATTTAATTTGATAATCGATTGTGGTTGAAAATGTTGTCTATTAGGTAGAGTATGAACTACAACACAGGATTGCTTCTGCCATTCAATTCTGATTGAATCCATTCTATTGTTTTTGTTTCTGTTTTATGTATCATTCTCTCCTTCTCTTTATATATATATATCTGTGCATAAAATTCTATGAAGAACTACAAAAGAAATTGTATTATTCAAATTTTTATTTCATAGATCTGTGGTTTAAATTTTGTGTATTGCATTAAAAACAAAACAGTAGTGAAATTTTGATGACCATGTTGTTTTTTCCGAGGATAAATTAAGCAAACAGATTTAAGAATGTTGTCAAAATGAAAAATGAATTTTTAGAATAGTCTTGTTACTAGAAAAATATGATAACTTGTATTAGAAAGATGTTTCGAAATTTTTCACTTCAAACAACAGCTTTTATTACTGTAGTTATTTTTTCAAAAAAGAATCCTAATATTTGAGAGGTATTGTTGAAGTGAAACTTAGAATTTTTATTTTTTCATGACACAATTAGAATTCGATTAGACTGACTTGTTCCTTTCCTTTAAAAAATGTTTTTTTTTAATTTAACTACAGTATTTACAAATCACATCAAAGTAATAAGTAAACTCTATTGGTACAAACATCTTGGTTAGATTCATAGTTTTTTTTTTTCAAAATTTTCTGATGAAAATTAGAAATTTCAAACACTTCCTCAGAAAACTCTATTTTCGTCAAAAAAACAAACTGATTTTTGAGATAAAGATATTAACGTTGCCGGAATTTTCTGGTATTGAAACAATCAAAATTGCCATGAATCTCAAAGGTTTTTACGGCTTCAATGAATGATCTTTCAAAGTATCTGTACAAATATAATGATTGAAGCAATTAGTAAATTTTGTTTATAGTTAGATTCGCAAAATAAACAAACATTTTTTTCAAGATATTCAAATCTTGCGGATCTTCTCTTCACTTACATCATGAAAATAGATATTTTATATAGAGTAAAACAACATATTTCGTAGAAGTTACTAGTGGAAACTGATCATCATTATCAGTCTCGGACAATCTGTAAGGCAACAAGTTAAGTTAAAGACTTTATTTGTTGTTCTTTTATTTTTTCTGAAAATTGATTTTTTTCGGTCATAACCGAAATGTGAACGAATTCTTTTCTCTATATATTTCATTCTGATGAACTATATTGCTTTTTAAGCAATAGATATACGCATAGTCCTTCAGAGAAAACAAAGGGATTTTATAATGAATCGTCGATGATCGATAAACTCTAAGTTTTCTAAAACAATCCAGGGCAGAAACTTCAGATTTTTTTAACTATAGATAATCCGCAAAACAAAATAGAGTAAAAATTAAACAAGTCTTTTCCTTCACTCGAATTGGTGAGGAGTTCTGTTCAAAATGAAAACAACCCAAGCTTCCGAGCTTAATATTTAGAAATTCTCTGAATAGTTATGTATGGTGACATGAAATTGTTTTTATTAATGTACTTCCATGATCCAAACATCGATGCCAAGTTTCATCAATATTCCATGCCCCTGTGGAAGTTAGATTTTTTTAGGAATACTATTAATTATGGACATGAGCATGCATTGAATCATGTAGCATACTACAAATTATCAAACCTGTAAACAATATATTCCATGAAGAACGTTACAATAGACAATATCTATGGCTTTGATCGATATGAAAAGCTACAACATACAGAAGGAAAGATCACTTAACAGATATAAGATTTGTGCCTTTATCTAAATGCTTTATAAGATTATACCTATGTCAAAATGAAACCAAAAAGGTTTGGATTCAATATATATCTAGATAGAGATTTATCAGAGTGCGACGTGGATGTGTCTATAGGTTTCTTCTTTTCCAACACCGACATCCGACGAAAAACATTGTTAGCGAAAAGAGACTAATTTCTAGATGCTGACAATCTTAATATAGAACTAATCAGAGATATTGATCGATGAGGTACAACTAGTATAATAGATCAATAACAAAAATTATTTGATGGAAAAAATCTTAGATAATGCTTGTATCATTTTGAAAAATCAAGTTTTCACATGGAAATTGATCACATGCAGCAGCTTTTGTTACATTTATTTTTTTGCTGAATAAAGGGAATAGAATTTCTTGCTAGTCTCGCAATTATGTGTTCATAAATCAATGGTGAATAAACGATCAATGTTAACAAAAATCATTGATTTTTATATCGTTGCTTAAAGTTAAATCATTTTATTTTGTAATTATCTTCTCAATTATAAATTCGAAAACATCATTGTAAACCGTTTATGTTCAAAATTTTTTCAAGCGTTGTGATCATTATACTCGTAATGTAGATCATACATGTAAAATAAAATGTCAATTATGCATGCAAACAATAATAAATTCATATTGTGACTTTTTGATCAAGATTAAAAATCATGTATAATTAGGTAAGACTCTAAAATGCTTCGTACATTTGATATTTGATCTGTAAATAATGACAAATATGATTATAATAATCGACATTACAATGGAGAAAAATATTCAGAATACATGTTAATATTTCATGTGTGCATTTCAATTCATATATTGTTACACAAATGTGAACAACAAGATGTATTTGCTACTGGTTATAAAACAGTTGAAAAAGATCGACAAATGAATGTGAGGTATATATTCTTACAGATCGTCAAAATATGCCTAAATGAATTTGCTGAGTTCGAGGTACTTGTGTATTGGATCTTCTGTCAATTGAGTATCTTTTCGGGTACTCTGTTACCAGTTTGTTACAGGATCTTGGATGGGTATCGTACTGACTAGGGAACGTTTTCAACTGTCAAATCACTTTTGAGTTCGGACTTTGTGCATCAGATAGACCCTAGTGAGGTATGAAAAATCTTAAGAAATTAAATACCCTTAGGCCTTCTGTTCAGAGTTATAGGCATTTTACTGGAATTTTAGCCTAGGGCATGGTATGTACGAACAAATTGAATGATGGCGTTTCACTGTGAGATTTTGTCCACAGACATGTCCATTGATGATTAGAATAACCTGAAAATTTTAGCTCAAAAGAACATTTCCTTCTAGAGATATTAATGTCCCAAAAATGACTTATATAGGACAACAAATGCTAGAATTCTCTGTTTTTTTCTTACTTTAATATCTCGGGAAGGAAATGTTCTTTTGAGCTGAAATTTTCAGGGTGTTCTAATCACCAATAGACCTGTCTGTGGGCAAAGTCTCACAGCGAAACGCCGTCATTCAATTTGTTCGTACATATCATGCTCTAGGCTAAAATTCCAGTAAAATACTTATAACTCTGGACAGAAGACATAAGGGCATTTAATTTCTTGAGATTTTTCATATCTCACTAGAGTCTGTCTGATGCGCAAAGTCTGAACTCAAAAGGAATTTGACAGTTGAAAACGTTCCCTCGTAAGTCTTACGAAAACAAACGGAGCTCTATATCTTAAAACAATAAAAAAACAAGAATGCAGCTGATAACTATCCATACATAATGTCGGTGTGAGATTTATCTAAAATTTAGAAAAAATTGCATTTGATGATTTTAATGCTAAAACAGAACTATCAATGTCAGCATAAAGTTTGTTTCTTTTTAAATTATTGCAGAATTCGCACAATCAGTTCTACAAACAAGCACAGTCATGTTGTACAATAGCGTGCAATACAAACAGTCACACGTGGTAAAAAGTAAACATAGAAGCTACCACAGTTAATTACTGACACAAAACGGTTTTAAATACAAAGCACTCGAGATATTGTGAAGCATACAGTTCCAGTAACTACAGCACTCACTGTTGTTGGTAGCGTTCCATTGAACCAACCTTCTGTATAAGCACTACAGTGACCCATACCAAGCGATGTTAATGGAATAATAGTACCACCAGTACCAATAAATCGTATCCGAGAGCCACCATTACTCGTATTGAATGGTGGTCCATCATCGCACGAACCCTGCGATGATACTTGAGCAATATTTCGGGACAGATCATCGATGGTTGTATACGATGAACAAGGTGATCCGCTTTGATTTCCTCTACTAATATCAGTGACTAAGGTTGTTGTTGATAGTGAAGCTAAGAAAACATTTTCATCCACATGTGTGAATCGAAGAACAGGGAAATATATTTGCATGAAGTGAAATTATTTGTTGTTGTTTCTGATATACCTCGTCTAGACTTAACAACAACTGCCACACCGACAATAATAGCTACAGTTAAAACGATGCATATTACAATAATAATTGCAACAATCTTTGATCAGATATTACATGTTTATTTACCATCGGTTTTATCAATCTACAAAAAAACTTTTATGTTCGAATTAGATCGATATACATATATTATCTTACTCAGCAGTGAAGGGTGCTTGTTAATTGTGAAGTATTATCATGATCTTCGACAATTAATCTTTATGATCGATCTGTTTTTGAGTGATTATATTCTGCATTATGAAAGGCTTGTGCTTTTAGGAGTAGATGTACGAAATTTGAAATGAACTTTTTTTTTTCTAAGATTTTATCTCTTGACTATCTAGTTTGAGAACTGATTTTGGTTGAAAGTATTATCTATTAGGTTAAGTATGAATTATAACAGAGGATTTTTTCCTCCATTCTATTGTTTTTATTTGTGTTTCACGCACCGTTCTTTACATTTCTTTATATGTAAATCCATGCATAAAATTCTATGAAAAACTACAAAAAAAACTGTATTATTCAAATTTTTATTTCATAGATCTGTTGATTGAATTTTACAAAATAAAAACATAGTGAATTTTTAATGATCACGATTTATTTGCTGAGTACACATCCAGTGAACCAATGTAAGAATGTTGCAAAGTTAAAAAAAAATTTTCGCAAGTCTTGCAACTGCAAAAAAATATAATAACTTATATTTTAAAAAATATATCAAAATTTTCACTTGAAACAGTAACACAATACTCACTTTTTCAAAGAAATCTTCTTTGAGATATTAGTGACCTATGCTGATATCAAACTTGGAATTTGTACTTTTTCTTGATAAAATAAGTATTTGATTAGATTAACTTTTTGTCCTCCATTTAAAATATTTTTTATTCAACTAAATAATTTATAATTCCTATCAATGTAAATGTTTATCTGTTTGCTACAATTCATCTTGTTCAGATTTATAGTGCTTAAACTTCCTGTACAAAATTGCAGACGTTAGTTAAGCAAGCTAGTATCGAAATAATCAAAAACATCATGATTTTCGTGGGTTTTACGGCTTTAATGAATGATCTTTGAAACAATCTCGTGGCAAATAATGATATATACAGCAATCAGTAAATTTCTTTTAGTGTAGTTAGATGGGTGCGGCTGGAAGTCTTCTTTCCACTCACATGCTGACAGTAGATGTTTTATATTCAACAACATATCATATATCTTATAAATTACCAGTAAAAAGTAGCCATTCTTATCAGTCTTTAAAAAACTATACAGCAACGTGCAAATCAGAAAAATAATCTGTTATTGTTTCTTTTTTCTCAATATACTTCGTCATGAGGAGTGGCATTTCTTTCAATCGATAGATATATGTATAGTTCTTCAGATGAGGGAAGAAAATTTCCTAATCAAATATTAATATTAGATAAATCCTGGGTTTCCCGGAAATCTTAGACTTGAAATTACAGATGATCCGAGAAATGGAACAGTGCAAAAGATAAAAAAGAAAATCTTTTTTGTCATTCGAAATGGTAAAGAGTTCTTTTTCCGATGAAAATAACCAAAGCTTTGCAATTGGATATTTGAAAAACTTCTGAACGGTAAGGCATAGACGTGGGAATCGTTTTTATTTATGCAAAGGTTCACCAATATCCCACGTGCCCTGTAGAAGTTAGACTTTTTAGGGGAACACTTAACTACATCAATATGAATGACAAGTTGTTTGTGCTATTGGTGATAAAATAGCTGAAAAAAATCAAAAAATGAATGAAACATATATCTTTATGAAATTTTACAATCTACCCACTTAATCCAATGAGCTCGAGGAACTCGCACATCGGGCCATACGTCAGTAGAGTACCTTTTCGTGTCAATATTCTATGAAAAATTTCCTAACAAGTTAGTGCATTGAGCATTTTATACTCAAGTCTTAAAAATTCATGAAGTACCCTATGATCCGACGACATATCGGAAGCAAAGTATTCCAACCTTAATACATTCATTGGTCTGTTTGATCAAGGTCAATATGAGTTTGAAGTAAAATTTTGTGTTTTTTTTGTTTTATTTACATGGTAAATATATATCTCGACTAGGCATTTCACTTAGTGTAAATACTCATACAAATGAAATACATGATTGTAAAATTGCCTATCAATGTGTAAGTCAAAGTTCTGAATGTTGTAATGTTTGTCAATTATCTTATAGTCTTAGAAATCTTTATCATAGTACAAATACTCATCGAATAAAGTATCATTCATAAAAAAAAATAGCATATCAAACATATAAAATACTATCATTGTTTTTTATTATTTATTTAGAATAACGAATTCGAAATATTTATTTTTCATCGAAATACTTATCAACCATTTCTAGTCAAAACAAAAAAGAAAACATCGAGAATATAAACCAGATGAATCATATGAATGTAAAAGGTCGACCATAGTCTCATCTAAAAATATGTCCGAACAATGAGAATTGTATTGCTAATCTTTATCTTAATGTTAAACATTCCAATGATCGATGATATACATGTATTCATAATAATTATGATTTATGATTATGTGAACCAAGTAACATTTAAAACAGATTGTAAACATGAAATATTTAATAAATTAGTTCTTGTATCTTATTATGACACAACTAGATCAATGAATTGATATATATTCATGAATCAAAATACTATTCGACGTAGTGTATTGATGCATGAAAAATTATTAAAAATCTGACACGATCTAATTTAAAAAATCTACCTAATACTATCAATATTATAGAACTTGTTAAAACATTATATATTACCGCTACGTGAGGTATTGTCTTTATCAACATTAAGTTTCATATTCTTTTTTTTTTTTGTATTTTACGTAGTTCTTGATAATCTATCTAATGCTGTAATGAATATAAATTGTCGAGAAACTAGTACTTTAAAATATAAAATACATTTTACTCATTCATTACCATATGTACATGTATATGATATTGAGGTAAAGGTGATCATTGACCTGATGGTTGTTCATATAGTAAAATATTAGTCATCAAATAAATATTAAAAAAAAGAAATTCGTTATAAGTTAATGAAAATAGGTTCACATACATATACAAGGTCAAATTTATTTTGTACTTTTATCAAATATTTTAAAGTTATCTTGATAGAAAATTTCATTATATTCGATCACGTGATCTTTAAATTGAAGAAATAAATGCTATTATTTATTGATTGAAACATTACTTTTTTAATTTTTGTTTTGCTTTTGTTGTTCTTTTTTTTTTTTATTAAGTCCATAAGTTTGTTTTGTTTTTTGCTTATAAAATAAAGTATATATAAAAAATTTTCATGCCAAAATTTATTTCTTACAGTAGGAAAAAGATATGATATGATGTGCTTCATCATTATCATCATCAACAACAACAACAATATCTTTCGGAGTACGTTAATAGTCCATGTCGTTTTCATCTTTTTTTTTTTCTTCTTCTTCTCTCTATCAAATGATGTTTGTGGGCCGGGCGAGAAAAAAAAAAGGTTATCTAACATAGATGTAATGCGATGCGCAACAGATTATTATATACACTATTATTTTTTATTCGTTATAGTTGTGTGATTCAGCTGTGCAAGAGTAAAATAACCCTATATATATATTAGTTTTTCTTTGCATATTATAACTATGGCAGGACCAAAACGTTCAGTTGATTTAAGTAGTACAGAAATTCAAGAAGCTTGGCAAGAGGTTAGAAATGATGCAACAGATACTAATTGGTATGACTTGATTCCGTTGTTTTTTCTTAATAATTTTGATTGTTTTGGCTTTTTTTTTTTTATTCTTTTAATCTAGGATTTTATTGAGTTATGGTGATAATAGTGATATTGTACTTAGTGGGAAAGGTACAGGTGGTTTAACAGAAATGAAAACACAATTAAATCCGAATCAAGTTTATTATGGTGTTGCTCGTGTTCGAGCTGTTGATGATCATGGAAGTAAACGAGCTAAATTTGTATTCATTACATATGTTGGAGCCGGTGTAGTAAGTATTATTTGATTTTTTATATAAACTTTTTTTTATATGTAAATATTCTATTTAATTAGACTCCAATACGTCGTGCTCGTGTATCAACGCATAAACATGAATTTGAAAGATTTTTTAACGGTTATCATATACAAATCTATGCTAATTCTGAAGATGATTTATCCGAAGAAGCAATTACAGCATCACTACATGCCTGTGCTGGTGCTCATAAACCACAAGCATATGAATTCTCTTAAAATAAATCTTTCGCTTCTTTTTTTTTTTTTCTTTTTCCTTTTTTTTGCTTGTGTTGATTCTGTTCGTGTCCTTATTAGGCATTGATATTTCTTTCTTTCTTTGTTTTTTTATATATATATATATATCATAGATCAATCGATTTTAACAACTGTGATAGAGAAATATATTATTATGAAATAAGTGTTTTCTCTTTCTTCGATTCCAAAAAGAAAAAAAAAAAAAGAATACATATATATATATCATGTTCAAATACTTCTATATCTCTCAACTTAGATCACTAGATGGCGTTATCTATCAATTGTTGATAGAGATTGTTATTTATTGGAAAAGACGTATTGTACAATAAAATAAAAGCAGAAGCAAAAAAATTATGATGATATAGTTAATAACATTTCGTTCGAAAATTAAATTGTTCGATTTTATATTTGTACTTCTATCTAATTTCTTCCATTATTAATCTTCACAATATAAATGGCTTCAATTTTCAGTCGAATTCTTGGAAAAAATTTACAATCATCCTCAAAAAAAAATGCTTCAACTACTAATACATCATCATCATCATCATCATCAACAGCAGGAACATCTTCGTCTTCATTACTTCCTCTTGTTTCTCTTGATCTACCGTATGTAAAATGAAATTAGTATTATTTAACAAAAATTAATTATTCAATATTTCTTTTGATATAGACCATGGATA